TAGTTGCATTTAGAGATTTAAATAGTTTTTTCTTTATTCTTTGTGTTTTTTTGCTTCCGACGACGGAAAGAGATATACTTTCCGAAACGTTAAGCATTTTTATTTGTATTTTAGGCAAATTTCTTTATTAGTAGACCACTGCTCACAATTAGTCTCCGTTAGATTAACGCAGCATTGTTTACAAGAAATAACTATTGTATTTTGTAGATTTTCTTGCAGTGACGAAATACCCATAGGACTTTTTTGGAGACACGTTTTATTATTCTAATTGATAAAAAATATTTACTATTCATATCTATATAATAATATAATATGATATTTCCTCAAGTTTGATTTTTATTATAAGTATTTACTATATACCAGCCCAGGTAAATATAACAAAATATAAATATAACTTTTTTTGTGAAAAAGGAACTTGCTGCTTGATTGAAGGAAGATCCATTTTCTTCCAAAATGAACAAAAATATGCAAAATATGCTAATAGTGCCATACAAAACTGCTTATTAATTAAGCAGTGTATGTATGTCATAATTATTATGACATACAATTAACAATTAATTATTAACTAAACTAAACTAACGAATAAACAATTAATTCCTGAAGCCTCTTTTTTCTACTATTTAATTCTTTTATACTTTTTACTCTATTTTACAGCCATTTTACACCAGCCTACACACGTTATCCTACACACGTAAAAGCCGGCAACACTGTATGCCGCTTTTTATTTTGTCTCTCTGTCTGTCAACCGGTCATTTATATTTATCTCTGTCGTATGCAATAAAATAAAGGCTACGCAGATAAAGTGTCCAGGATGGTATACAAAATTAAGAAGTAAAAAAAGACCGTTGGATAATTTATTCTGTTAACTTTGTTTCTTATAATTACCCAAGTCTCTATTATTTTTGAAATATTTTGATCTAAAAGACTGTCAGCCGAAATCTGCTATAAAAGTGTAAAAAACATATTAGTAATATTTCTGACTATTAGTTTAGAGTTCTATTCAAATGGAAAATTACCTGATTTTATTCATGTGTGGTATCATTACCCTTTCCTTTGTTGTGTTCTTAGGAAAATTTTGACAAATATACATTGAAGCTAAGACCGAAAAAATAAATTATTCCTTTAATATGCTCATTTGAATTTTATCGAACAGGAGTTGTTATGGAAACTCAAGGATTATGTAAGTAACAGGCTTTTCTATTTGATATCCAGTAGATGCATTAGTTATATATTATTAAGTATTCTTTAGTTAATTTTTGTATAACTTATTCTTTACTAAATAAAATATTATTAACACATAAATAATACCAAGATACGTCTCAAATTTTTATTACTTTTTTCATTACCTGACGGTAAATAAAAAAAAATAGAAATGTAAATCATACCTTACAAGATTATGACAATTATTTTATTTGATAAACACATTTTTGAAATTATAATTTGGCTGTTGTTTTTAATGCCATTGTTTTTATTCAAATTGTTTAAAAATGATTATATTTACCATTTTTTAGGAGTGTATTAAAGTAAATAGCTGTTACTCCAAATAAAATAATTTGCACTTGGCAACGTCGAGCCGCTGTTCTTGTTCAAAACTGGACCAAATATAAACACATGGTCAAAATTATTGCATATATATAACTTTGATAATCTGTAATAAACATTTTTTTGTTAAAATGGATATGGTAAACAATGTTTATCGTTCAGACCCAATATTATTACAAATTCTTGCACATTTCGATTTGTGTGGTCTCTTGGGTTTCAGAACAAATTTGACCACTGTTTTGACCATGCCTAGAAACATTATTTCACAGTTTAATAGAGTCAGAAAGTAACACTGTCTCAACAGGGCGACCGGCAAGTTGCAATAGCTGAAATTGTAGGAGTTAACCACAGCGATGTTTCGCGAACATTAAAAAATAATCAGGGAGACAAACGAGGTTACAGACCGGCCTGGAAGCGGTAGAAAGAGAGTTACTACTGCTGTGCAAGACCGTCAGATATCCCTAATTGCACGACGCAATCCCCTGCTTTCTAGTAAAAATGAGTTAGCTCGCCTTGAAGGCGTAAATATTTCAAGAAAGACTATAGTAAGAAGACTCCATGACAGAAGATTACATTTAAGGAGGCTTATACGTGTTCCGAAGCTTAATTTACAGCACAAAATTACGCGACTACAATGGGGAGATGAGAGCAAATGGACCTAATTAGAATTTCGTCATGTTTAGTGATGAAACAAGAATAGGCCTAGTGTCAGACTCGCGACGAATTTTGGTCTGGAGAGCATCTGGAAGACGAGCACGCTTGAATGCAACTCAACCCCGTGTCCCGTTTCAAGGGGGTATGGTAAGCATTATGGTATGGGCAGGTATAATGCACGGGGCTAGAACTCCTCTTGTTTTTATTGATGGCACAATGACAGGTACCTCATATTTTAGAGCCTATTGTGCGTCCATTTCAAGGGGCAATGGGGGATGAATGGACGATAATGCTCCTCCCCATCGCACTTTAGCGGTTCGCGAATTTTGTGAGGAGGAGGGTATAAGAAAACTGTGGTGGTCACCGATGTCTCCAGATATGAATGTGATCGAGCATGCTTGGGACATGCTAAAACGCCATATTGCCTCAAAAGAATGTAACCCCCCGTACCTTAAATGAATTGAAAATTGCTGCGCGCGAAACATGGGAAGCCATTCCTTAACATCTTCTGGACAACTTAATTGAGAGCATGCCACTCGAGAAGGCAATACAGACTATTAGTTGTGAGAAATAATTAATATTGTTTTCAATATTTTCTGTTTAAAATGAAATTTGTTTTTGTTGATTTTCACTCATTATGGAACAAAATTATAATAACTGCCTAGTTGCACTTAGATTTTTAATTTTATATTAGTTAGTCGTGTAATAAGCCAATATGTCCAAAAATATAAAAATAATCATATTAGGTCCAAAATAAAATAAAAATATCGTTATATCCAATAATTTTTGCCATGTGTGTATATAGTTGTTATATGTAAAGACGGATTCTCACGACTTGTGTACTTGGCAAGTACGTCAATATTTGCGTACTTGGCAAGTATACTATATTTGTAAACAACATTTTTTTGCTCATGCGCCGCGACAAGTGACAAAAAATTACTTGTTGGAATTGCTCAAACGACATGGCAAGTATATGCCAGTCCAGTTAGTGGAGTTTTTGCTCCTTTACAATCTTTAATTTTGAAGTTACAAAAATAAAATATACAAAAAATGTAACAGGTTAAAAAGTAATAAAACCAATTTAAAAATGAACTAAATTTAGGTAAAAAAACAAAGCTATTATTACATTTTTCGTCGGTTTCGGGTGAATAGAAAGTCTAATTTATTTAAACTCAATTTATTTAACACTAAGTAACAAAACAATAACGATAAAACTACTTAAAGAACCATTTATAACTTATTTACAATTATTTATCTAAAAGAATTTATTTTGAATTTAGTGCTGTAAATGTACGCGTCAACCGAAGCTGTTTGTTTTGTGTGTTCCTCAGGTCCCAGGCGTCGGTTTATGTATGAGAAAAACAGACAGTTGAGATCTTAAGCTTGATTTTCATGCATCCGTTATCCGACGATATGATGATACGATATTAATTTTATTGGTTGAATTTAAAGACTTTGATTGGTTAGAAACGGTTAACTAAAATCAGTCAATAAAATTAATATTGTATCATCGTATCGTCGGACAATGGATGCATGAAAATCAAGCTTTACTCGAATTTTCTGTTTACGTTTGGCCGCCGTTCTCTGTTTCTCCAGATTATTCCACTCGCTCTCAAATGGGGGCGGGGCATATTAGTCAGGTTGGGCCGAGTCCACACGGGTCCGGAATACGACTATAAACGTATCTGTTTGAATTTTAAATATAAAAATATATTTAAAAAATATAAAAATAAAAGAATTTTCAAAATAATTCTTCTAGTATGCATATTTAGAAAAACTTTTATTACATTCTCTTCAAGTGAAGGAGAAGAACGTATACTCTCTAGTAATGAACTTTTAATGTTCATCACAGTATTCCATACATTTTTATCCTTAAAAAATAGTAGACAAGGTCAACAAAAAAAATTATTGAGTGTCTTACAACCACATAACCAGAGTTACTAAATGAACTAAAATCGGTTTTATAATATTTTTTATTCTATACAGCGATGTGTTTCAGAAACCTATAGTCTAAGAGCTAGCGACGTTTTCGAGAAACTATTTTAAGAAAGCTGGCTCTTTGATATATGTTTTACTATACTCCCTGGAACAGCATGCGGCCCGTCTGGCTGCCGATACCCGTTGCGTTCATTACTGCACAGCGGAACAATTTAGTCCTATAAATTCCAGTATTGAATATAAATCGAACATGTCTCCATAGCGCAGTGCGTAGAGTTTCCGACTACGAACCGAGGATTCAGAGTTCGATCCGGGACAGGGCAAAGAGTTTTTTTATTTTATTTTTGTTTATATTCTGGTAGTAAAACATTAAATAATTCTGGTGATTCAAAAAACAAATATTTAATACTTTACTATCAGAATTATTTTTATTTTTAGCGTTTAGCGTAGGTCTTAAGCTCGTCTATAAAGCTCGACCAATACACACATTAAATAATTAAATTTAATTATTTCAATAAATTTACTGAGAATTTTAATTTATTATAAAAGATCTCAGTGATTTTTTAAATAAAAAACGTATTATAATATTTTGAAGGGATCTGTATACGATTATTGCTATGATATTGTGATATATAAAATATTAAAAAAAATGCTGTTTGAATATTTTACTATACTATAATTCCTAAAAATCAATTTCAATCATAAGAAATAAATCACCAGCGGCACTTTTGTTTTACATTTACCCAATAGCGCAGGCCTCTACACGAACAGGTTGTCCTTCGCCGCTATAACCAAAACTACTTTAACCCCTTATTCAGTTCAGTTTTTGCTGTTAACTTCGAACGACCACAATAGGGAGTATGTCTTTATTTACTTTCACGATCGAAAGCACGTTGGGAAAGCAAAGTGAATATACTACAAACTTTTTCATGGAAATATAGCAAACGTTTTTTATAATCGTATTTTTTTGGGACAGTTTTAAACGAAATAAATATATATTTAAAGACGTTTTAAGTGAAATTTAAGTATGACACCGGAAACACCTTCAAGCTCCGGAAGTGATACTTCTCGACCTCCTGTAAAGTCTGCAGAGGAACGTTTGATGGTTGCTGTCAGAATAAGGCCCCTTAAGAACGACGAATCTCAAAGAGTCCTATATGCCAGGGACAAAAAGGTAAATTATATCTTTCTAATAATATTTCTGTTTATTGAAACATGTTTTTTTTTGTGTTAGTAATTTTTATAAATTTTTTATTCTGTTTAGATTAGACATTAAAATTTTATTAGTAAAATCTAAATAAAATTGAGTAAAAATAAATAATAAAAATAATGTGTTTAGAAAATGAGGTATTCTAATTTCATAGAGTAGTCATATGTAATTACAATCTAAGCTATGAAATTAAAATTTATTAATATGCTATAAACAAATATCCACTCCTACTGCACATAATTTGTGCAGCACATTTTCGTATTTCTAATTATTTTAGTCTTATGTTATTAAACAAAATATTAATACGGGAATAATATAAATATACAGTTCATACCAAATAAACTTTTAGTCACGTGATTAAGCTTGATCGGCGCATCCTTGCCCACTTTTATATATTTTCTTTTAATCAAAATATATTAGAATAAAAATAAATTAATTATAATTATATAAACAATTATTATTTACATCAACAAAACTCGCCTCCTTAACAGCACTTAAGGGACATAAAGGGACATTACTACCGCCTTCCCGTTCAAAAATATTCTAATAAGTTTGCGATGAGTTTTTTTGCATTGGCTATTGAGCTATCTTGTACCACTTCGCACTCAAAGAGGTTCTAAAAAGAACAATGTTTGACTGCAAGGTCTGCTATTAAACATTTTCAAGCTTAAAGTATCACAACACTATTTATTTAAACCAAAAACTCGTAATACAAAACTAAAGTGTTAAAACGAATGACAATGCCAGGAAATAAATAAATGAGGCAACTTGACATTTTTTACAGCGGAGTTATCACCTGAATCCCCAGTGTGAAATTTAAATTCCGGTTAGTCATCACAGCGCCGAATATGTCCATGGTTGGCAACAATGAATTAAAAAATCGCACCCTTGATTACTAAACGTTTAATTGATGTGAAATATATGTATCAGTTTTTCTATTACTTTTTTCATTGCATCTTTTAAAATAGAAAATGGTAATCACACCTTACAAGATTATGACAATTTTTTACCGAGTTTTTTACTATAACTTAGATTGTAAAAAATAATTAAGATTTAAGTGGACTACGAGCCCTAACAACTATATGTTGGGACAAGGTCATATTATGGAATTATTGCCCTAGTTTTCCAAAATGACTGAAAAATATATGTTTAATTTTTTAAATATAAACATAACCATATATCCTAAACAACTTGACAATATTTTTATGAATTTGTAAATCAATCCATATTTACAGTAGCGGATTTTGTTCATAAAAGGACAAATTTGCTGACAACTAAATGTTGGGACAAGTATTTTTAAATAATTAATATCATCATAGGCGGCTTTGCCATAAACGTCACAAATGTCGCAAACTGTTTACTTCAGCATTGACAGCTTGTAAGTGACTCGATACTTTGAGTAGTGAGATTTACTGTAAGAAATTTTAATTTTTTTAATTTTCAATTTTGTTAATTTAATCCAAAGTAATGGTCCGTGGAAAAGATACAAATGAAAAACTACGCGAAATTATCATTCGTCAATACAGTACGGGAAAAACAATTCAAAAAATTTCTGATGATTTCTGAAGTATTCCAAAAACCACGGTCTTTAATACAATAAAAAAATACGGCGAATCTGCCAACGTAGACGTTAGAGGTAAAATTTCGGGAAGGCCAAGAGTTGTATCTCAGAGAGATTTACGAAATTTAGTAAAAATTTGCAAGTCTGCAAGAAGAAGTACTCTTCGCGAAGTAATAGTTAAATGGAATACTGTAACTGGTTTAAATATATCAAGATAATGTTGCCGAAAATATATCCACAAATGCGGTCTGGGGTTTTACAAGGTAAACTTTATTTTGTGTGGATAATCAATTACCTGAAGATTATTGATACATATTCATATTTAGGCCAAAGAAAAACCGCTACTGACAGAAATTCAAAAGAAAAATCGCTACACTTGAGCAAACTCCAAATTATCGTGGACACAAAATGATTGGAATAAGGTCATATTTAGCGATGAGTCTAAATTTGATGTTTGCGTTGGAGATCATCGAAAACGAATAATATGAAATAAAGCAGAAGACTTTCATAAAGATTGCTTAAAGAGGGTTGTTAAATTTCCGAGAGGAGGAGATTATGGTTTGGGGTTGCATGTCAGCAAGAGGTTTGGGCAAATAAAATTTTATAGATGGCACTGTTAACGCCCAAAATTATCAACATATTCTTGAGACCTCACTTTTGCCTAGTGCTCAAGAATTGTTTCCAAACGAAGACTATATTTTCCAACAAGATGGAGCATCGTGCCGTTCAGCAAGATCAACTAAAAATTGGTTCGGTAATAATAATATAAAAGTTCTATCCTATCCTTCACGTAGTCCGGACCTCAATGTTGTAGAAACTGTGTGGCATAAAATGAAGCAATATTTAAGAAACCACCCTCAACGAACAATTTTTGATTTGCGGACAAAACTGCAGGAAATTTGGGATAATTTTTCTCCTCAAATGTGCCAATCTTTGGTAAATACAATGCCATTAAGAGTTCGGGCAGTTGTTAAGGCGAAAGGTGATGTAACTTCGTATTAAACAAATTCCTTGTTGTGCTGTCCCAGTATATAGTTGTCAGTAAATTTGGCTTGATTTTGTCAAAATAAGCTATTATCAAAAGTGATTTGTTTGCAAAGTTATAAAAATATAGTAAAATTGTCTAGATCATATTGTAATGTTTGAATTTAGAATAATAAACAAAATAAATTGAGTCGTTTTAACAAATTACTATTTTTATTGCAAAAAAGTTTGTTAAACTTGAATATTTAGTTATTGTTGTTGGAATATTTTCCTAGACAAAATTACAAACTATTGTTATAAGTATCTAATAATGAACCTTTTAAATATGAAAAAGAAATATTCTGTTTTAATAAGCAATTTAAATATTATTAGTAAAGTCATGCAGAGTAAAAATAAATAATTGAAGTAATAGGTTTAGGAAAGGAGTTATTCAAATTTAAAAAAAAATATATTTGTAATTACATTCTAATTTAACTTTCTAACGCTGAAATTTATTAAATTGATATACACAAATATCTGCTATTCTAAATAATTTATGTAGCAGAAGCTCGTTATCGTATTAATATAATATATTTTCATTTGTTAGATATATTATTTTGGTATATTATGAAGACATTTTGTACGGTTCCCCCAGTTAAAATAATATAAAATCTAATATATCTGTACTTTGCCCATAAAATGTCATAACAAATAGATTCAGTTATAAAATTGTTCACAAAAAATATTTTTAATATACAGAATGTCCTCGGATTTTTTTACAAGAGGATTAATTTTTTTATTACTGAAATTTTGAAAAAAATGCATTCCTTATAAAAATTGTTGCTTGTTCCAAAATGGTTAATCCCGCTTATAATTTCCTAAATTTCCATACCGTTTCAGAGATAATTAAAAAAAAATGAAAATATGACTTAATTTTCCTAAGTTCTAAAAATCTAAACGCGTTTCTATGATAATATAATTTGGAGTTTATTCTTTGATAGATGGTTATTATTAATTTTGAGTAAAGTTATCTTTTTTGTTGTTGTTAAATTATCACATTTCTGATAACTATTATCACCCTTTCCGTAGCACTGTACTAAATAAATTTTGTGCTTCTTTAACATTTTGAAACGGCAAACAATATGACGATTTTTAATACTATCTATATCTATCAAAGAAATCCGTTTTGATTTTTAGGACTATATTTTACTGTTTTTTTATTTTTTTCTAAAAAGGTATGGAAATTTGGAAAAGTATAAACGGGATTAACCATTTTAAAACAAGCAAAAATGTTTATGGATAACGAATTTTTTTCGAAATATCAACAATAAAAGAGTGGTTGCTCTTTTAAAGGCAATCCAGGGACATACTGTATAAAAAAAATAATTTATTATCAAAAATTATAAAAGACTGCAGTTCTTGGTATGTATTTATGTAGTAATTAAGGAAATATTTGTCTAAGTTCTTTTTCAAGCGATTTTAAATAATTTAAAGAGTCTTCATTTATTTTTATAACCAGTTAAAAAGAAATTATATTTTTCTTTAACTGATTTGTATATATTTTTGAATATATTAATTAGTATTTGGTATTTTAGAATAATCATCAAAATTAATAATAATTTATATAATATAATATATAATTTAATAAATTAAAAAATTAATGAATTAGGTACTGTTTTACATGAAGAAACAAAAAAAAGTTGACATTGGACATAAACTGTCGAGCATAAAAATTCCCCATTGTAGGACACATTTGACCAATACCCATTAACCCATATTCAGCGATTAATAACATTAGATATCGACTTGCTTCATATTGAAACAATACAATTCAATTACACAAAGCTTCGGTAGAGAATATTTTGTATGCTACCGGTAGTAAGCCTATTGGTCAATAGTTTCTGATGTCTTCTTTGCTGCTTTTCTTATGAATTAGAATTATTTTGGCGCTACTCCAGTCTTGTAGTATTTGTTTTCTTCTTACACAGCTCGTTTATATATTTGCTAGGATTATTTTTTTTAATGGCTAGCTAAGGGTATACATATAGTAAATTCATTAATCGCATTTTAATGAAAAACTGAAAACTGTTTATATATATATATATATATATATATATATATATATATATATATATATATATATATATATATATATATATTCCTATTTATATATATATGATAATATATATATATATATATATATATATATATATATATATATATATATATATATATATATTCCTTTTATGGCTTATGATAAAATATAATTAATTTTAAGAATTGACATAAAAATCGGAATTGTACTTCCGGGAAACATATTGCCATAAAACTGAACGTTAATATCTGTTTTATGTGGTTACGTCTCAAATTAAATCAGCCAACAAGTATATAAGCACCGTTTTTTCATAAGGTTATTTTTGTACAACATATTTGTTCGTAA